TATAGGAAGGAAAGGAAGTAGTCAAATTATCATTCTCTATAGATAACATGATTCTCTAACCAGAAGACCCAAAAAATTCCACCAAAAGACTCTTAGAAATAATAACCAAATTCAGTAGCACATCAGTATATAAAATTAACACAAAAATCAATAGGGTTCCTATATACCAATAGTGAAGTCACTGAGATAGAAATTAGGAAAATATCATTCACAATAGCATCAATAAAAAGTAAGTACTTAGGAGTTAACAAAACCAAGGAAGTGAAACTATAGTACTCTGAAAAAGATCAGAGGAAATCAGAAAATATCCCCTCAACCTGGACAGACAGAATCAACTTTATCAAAATGGCCATACTACAAAAGCTGACAGGCAAATTTACAGCACTCCCAATTGAAATATCAAAAGCATTTCTCACAGAACTAGAGAAAACAATCCTAATTCATGTGGAACCAGAAGAAACCCAGAATAGCAAAAACAATACTAGGCAACAAAAGCAAAGCAGAAGACATCACAATCCTGGACTTGGGCTTATACTACAAAGCTACAGTGATAAAAATAGCAAAGGTATTAGCACAAAAACAAACATGTGAGTTCAAGGTTAGCCTAAATTACATAGTGAAACCCTGTCTCAAAAAAAGCTAAGGCTGGGCATGGTGGCACATGCCTGTAATCTCGGCACTTGGGAGGCTGAGGCAGGAGAACTGCTATGAGAGTGAGTTCGAGGCCAGCCTGAGCTACATAGTGAGTACAAGGCCAGGCTGAACTACATAGTGAGACCCAATCTCAAAAAAAAAAAAAAGTTTCCATATACTTGTTCTCAATATCTATGATTACAGATAATCCTCCTTTGATGATCTACCTATTTAACAGTTGTTCAGACTTACAACCCATTGTTCAAACTCAACCCATCTTCTTTTTATATACATCATGTTTATAGAGCCTCAATATCTTTCTTTTTATACCTTTTATACAGTTAATACAGTTGTTGTAGTCAGGGCTTATAGAGGAAATAATACAGGACACATGATTTATAGTATTTTTTTAATAATAGTCACCTAAAGAGTCATATACAAAGAGAGTGCAGGAAATCTGTCCACACACTAAAGACCAAAAGAATCCAGCTGAGGGCCTGGATCCCACAGCAATGTCCTGCATGAGTCCCGCTGAAGACCGAGAGCCCATGGCAATGTCCTCCACGAGTCCAACTGGAGGCCTAGAACCCATGACAATGTCTCATGCAAGTCTGTTTCATGGATCTGCACTGGGAATGTCAAAAGGTCAGTGGTGGAAGCTAGAAAATCTGTGCCAGCAGGATGAAGGATGTGTACTAGCAGGCTGAGGGATCTGCACTGGAGCCAGGAAGCGATGCTCAAAGTAAGAACTAGAGATCCCCTGAAAAGTACCACAGCCATCCTCAGCAACAGTGAGGTCCCAGGCTCCTCCAACAATGAGAACAGCCGAGCTCATATCAGGAAAGCCAGAACAAGAAGTCTCTCCAGTAGACTGAGCAGTGCACTATCTTCCCCTCTGGAGCCAGGAAGTGATGCTCAGAGTAAAGACCAGAGCTCCCCCAAAGTGAACTGAAGCCATTCTCAGTGACAACAAAGTCCTGAGCTCTTCGAACAATGAGAACAGTGACTTCATATCAGGAAAGTCAGCATGACAAGCTCCTCCAGGAGACCCAATAGCCCCAGGAGAACTAATAGCTCCCAACAGCTTTACTTTTTCCTCTCCAGTTCTTCTTTTTATGTTGTTGGCAGCAATCCTAGACAAATGCTAGATGTCAGTGTTACAATTTCCAGGATTCAGATGGCTGAGCATTGCCCTTTTTTAACCTTTTCTTCTAAAAATTGCTCCCAAAACACAGTCAGAACAAGCAACAGGAACACAAATCTCATCTACCATAAAACCAGGAACATCTGTACCTCTGAGGCAGGAGGCTGGGGTATGTGTAGCCAGCCAGCTGGGTAGGTGAGCTGAGCTGTCAATCATAGAGATCCAGGGCTCAGGCCCAGCAAAACAGTTCCCAAGCCCTGCACCTGAGACAGCCAGAAAACCCTTCACTTCCTCAGGAGGGAAGCCAAGCAGGTTTCTGATAGGAGGCCTAGCTCTGACGTCAGCCTGAAGAATGTGGGAACAAAAGACACCCCATTAACCTTGTGGCTTTCTCTGTGGCCTATTCTCATTCTGCAGAGCGTATTTCTTTTCCTTTAATAAATGTAAAATTCGCCACCTTGTGCATGGGTCTCGTCCCATTCTTTGCTCAGGACAACAAGAACCTGGGGAGAGCCCGCAGCACCCCAGAAGCTAGTAATACCCCTAGAGCTACAAAATATGAAAACCAAACAGATGGAGGAATGGTAACTAAATTAGAGCAGAGGAACGTGGAACTTTGTACCCACAGGAAGCAGCCCGGCAAGGCTCAGCCCAGAAGCCCCACACCCTGGAAGGGAACAGTAGGAAGGAGACACTTCGAGGCTGCTTGAAGACTTAGACAGCAGCCCACAGGCAGGCCTCCCCACCAGACAGGCCTCCATCCATCCCACCCAGCCTCCCATGGTCCAGGAAGAAACCTGGGGCGGGGCAGGGCATACCCACAGGAGGCTGTGGACCCAGAGGCAAGTCCACACACTGAACTACGAAATTCCAGACTCCCTTCTCTCACCCGGGCTAGAGCCCGATTTACACTTCCCTGGCAGGAGGCTAGAGACACTTTCTCCAGATAACTACATTCCTGCAAAGAAAATGCCTACACACACTGACATTTGGGGGAACACACACCCTCCCACACACAAAAGCTGGCTCACTACCTCATCCGTCTAAAAATAAACCCAGAAGCTGACAAACCCCGCCCACTCACATAGAGCCTCCAATCAGAGGGTAGCAATTCGGTTAAACTGTGAACAAGCGTGTGCAAAGATCATCAGACCTTGGAGAAAAGCTTCCAACAGTAAAGACAAGAGACCAAAACAAATAAACTGAAGGAGGAAGAAGAACTCAGAGGAGTCAGAGACTACACAGGCAGAAGAAAAATCCAAAAAATAAGTTAATACCCTCAGGGAGATAAGATTTTATACTATAAAATAAGACTCATATTTTCCAAGGAAGAAAGGGAGGGAAGGAAGAACAGGAGGAGGAGGAATAAACTGTTGCCTGATTTTAGAACGGATAATAAAGTCAATTAAGATCTCTAAACTAAGCAGAGCATGGTAGTGCCCACCTGTAATCCCAGGATTTGGGAGGCTGAGGCAGGAGGATCACTGTGAGCTTGAGGCCAGCCTGGGCTACATAGTGAGACCTTGTCTCAAACCAAAAAAAAAATCACTGAAATAAATTGTTGTTGGTTTGTCCATTGACTCTGTGACTCCTAGGTATCAGGTATGGCCAGGAAAGAAAAGGACGCCCACGGGGGCTGGGAATGTAGCTCAGCGGCACAGTCCATACCTGGCAAGTGCAAGGTCCTGAGTTCAATTCCTGGTACCCGCCCCCCACCTGGAAAAAAAAAATCAGAAAAGGACGCCCCAGAGCCATGGTGACCACCTTAACAGCTACCCACTCACTTTGCAAGAGGAAACAAGTGGGGAACTATCTGAAGGCTGCTAAAAATGGGGAACTTGTGTTCCCCTTTCTCAGGACAAGAATGAGATGAGACCACAGCACCCCAGAAAGTAGTAATACCCCTAGAGCTACAAAATATGTTGCTCTTCAGTACTACAGCAGCTCCAAGCATGAAGTCCTGGATGCTTTCAACAGGGTCAGTGAAGTAGAGACAGGAATTCTGGGAAATCCTGTAGTGGCCCAAGGGCAAAGAGGCTTGAACGCCATATCTCTGAGCCTTATGCAATGGAGCTGTCAGATGACCTCAAGTGCCTGAAAGACTGATCAATTTTGGCTCTATCCCCCCAAAACAAGGCAAAAGAAAAAAGAAAAAAAAGGAGCTCAACCACAAGATGAGAAATACAAGAGCCTATAATTTTTCTTTTCTTAGAACTATTTGAAATAAAAAGCATTGCAATCCCCCTCAGCTACTAAGTAAAATTCACTGTATAAATACAGGGAAATCTAACTAAGAATGGAAAGCTGTCATAAACCAGACCAAACACTTTCCCTTCCTCCTCCCTCTCCTCTCCCTCCCCTTCCTCCTGTCTTCCTCCTCATCTTCCTCCTCCCCCCCTCTTCCTCCTCTCCTTCCTCTCTCCCCGCTCTCCTTCTCTTCTTTCTCCCTGTCTCCCCACCCCTCTGTGCTTTCTCTTTCTGCCTTCCCCAGCCCTGTCTCCTCATGGACATGTCCCTCTGATCTCAGCCTCAGAATTTTTAAGTTTTTACTTTGGGGGCAGGAGGTGCTAAAGCTTGAACTCAAGGCTGGTGCTATTAGGCACACACTACTACTAGCTGTATCCTTTCCTTCCTTCCTTCCTTCCTTCCTTCCTTCCTTCCTTCCTTCCTTCCTTCTTTCCTTTCTCTGTCTCTGTCTCTGTCTCTGTCTCTGTCTCTGTCTCTCTCTGTCTCTCTCTCTCTCTCTCTCTCTCTCTCTCTCTCTCTCTCTCTCTTTCTGTCTCTCTTTCCTGATTACTCTTCCTCTATCACCCACTGGTAAATCCTGAGAGGTAATTTGTCTCTTGCTCAGATCACTTTCATTTAAAACCAGATCCCTTCCCCAGTTCTGCTGAATAAAATTCTCTGTGGTTTACCCTGCCAAGCACCTCTGGCCAACACAGCATTTCGAACTTATGGATTCAGCTGTCTTATTGTACTGGGTCTGGACTGGACTCCAGCCCTGGATGAGTCCAACACTTCACATGGTTTGTACCTGTGCTGCTGTCACACTTGACAGGAAGTCCTACTGTGCAGAGGAGGAGACTGGGGCCACCGCGAACGCAGTCTCCGCCTCCGCTGGGCCTTGACTCCGCCCAGGAATCTCTCGGAGCCTGCTCCGCCCTGCGCTCCACTACCCTTCACCTCTCACCTTGGAAGAAAAAGACAATAACTGAACTCTCACCTAGCAGCCTACCTTCCCGATGGTTTACTCAGCGCTCTTTGATCTTTCTCCTCCTTGCGCCGCAGACGGATTCCTTCACCGCACTCCTCTGGTCTCCGGCAGGATCTCGTCCGGGTCATTCGGGTCATTCTCCTTGCCTGGCGGATTACTTGCTGACTAGTTTAGCCTTTCAACCCCTAAGCGCAAACAGCCACTTATATTTAAATAAGAGAGACGAGTACGTCTGCAGCACACCTGCTTTAGACGCTGTGCGTGCAAACGATGGCCAAGGCAACAGTGAGGGAGCTGGGAGCCACTGAGAAGCAGGACTTACCGCCAAGCCGCTGCCCGGCTGTGGGCACGGGGATGGCCAGGCCCCCGAGCAGGAGGCCCTCAGAACCTCGCTTTATGGACCGTTCCATTCTGTCTAGACATTCTTTTCTTCACCTTCAGTCGCTGCCCTCTATTCTTTCTCAGCATTTAATGGATGTTTCCTACAAGGAATTTTTACTGCTTTGTGATAAATGCTTGTCTGCCTAGGCTCTGGTTATCCTGGGCTTCATTGGAACACAGAATCAGAATTATTAGAACATGTGTCTCTTAAATTGCAATTCCTAAGACTCCAAAGAGAGTCCTTCTACATGTGCAGCTTCCGAGTTTGAACCGATCCACATTCGTTGTGGGATATTGCGAATCACACAGAGGTGGTCCCTGTGACTTGTCTTCCCAGGAGACACACTTTGAATAAAAACTCACAAACCTAATCTGTGGTACTGAAACAGAAGTCCCAAGTGCTGTGGAGATATACTGAGAGAAAACTTAAAGTTAGTTCAGACTACCTTGAAGAAAGTAAAATTTAAAGAGCAGTAGCACACACCTGTAATCTCAGCACTCTAGGAGGCTGAGGTAGAAGGATCACAAGGATGAACCCAACCTGAGAAATGTAGTAATTTAATGAGACCCTATCTCAAAATAAAAATTCCAGCTGGGCACAGTGGCACACACCTGTAATCTCCGCACTCAGGAGGCTGAGGCAGGAAGATCCCCTTGAGTTTGAGGCCAGCCTGGGCTACATGGTGAGTTCAAGGCCAGCCAGAACTATATAGTGAGGCCCTATTGATAGGTAAATAAATAAATAAATGCCAGGTAGGTAGCTCAGTGTGAAGGTCCTGGATTTAATTCCCAGTACCACAAAATAAGTTTTAAAAAATTGACATTTAAGGGATATATAAGAAGAGTTCAATGAAAAAGTTTAAATTCTATGAAGTCCTGACCAAAATCCTATCCAAGATTTTCATGAAACTTGACAAGCTACTTCTAAATTAGATAGAGAAAAAGAAGAAAAGTTAAAATAGCCAGGTATGGTGGTGCATGCCTATAATCCCAGCACTCAGGAGGCTCAGGCAGGAGGACAAAGCCAGCCTGGGCTATTATATAGTAAGACCTTGTCTCAAAAAAAGAAAAAAGAAAGAAAAAAAAAGGAAAAAAGTGGAAGAAAAGAAAAAAACTAAAGTTAAGATGGACTGGGGATGTAATTTAGTGGTCGAGAACTTGCTTATCATGAGCAAAGCCCTGAGTTGGATCCCTAACATGGACAAATATTAAGAAGAGTAAAATAATTTTAAAAGGTAGAATAAAGTGTTCTAAAGCCCTATTATAAAACTATAGTAATTAGGATAGCATCAACACCATTTTAGTGATTGAAGCCAAGGGCCCCTGCAGGCTGAACATGCATTCTGCCTCAGGGATACCCCAGCCTACACAATCTCATCTTCACACACACACACACACACACACACACACACGTGTGCGTTTCATGACTTGTCATGTGATGCCCCGGGCTGCCTCAGGACTCCACCAGCAAGGTCATCAGGACACCTCCACAACCATGAGCCAAAATAAACCTCTTTGTAACTAAACAGATCCACACAAAAGACAGGGTGGTCTTGGTACAGAAGTAAAATGAGAGCAAAGGACAATTCCCTTGGCAGGCTCTTTCCTATTTGTCCCTCGGGGTGCAATGTGTCACTGCCTCAGGTGGTCTGGCTGTCTCTCCCTCAGTCTTGATTGGACTTCTTCGCAACTCCATCCATGGCGCCTGCTTTCCCTGCACAGAACTGTTAACCTAAATCTAAAACAGTAGATTTGCCACAGAACACTGGTACCTGTTTGGGAACAGCAGAGTGTGGCAGTGGTCTGCATGCAAAATCACAAATTGAGCCACTCTGCTATGGAAATAAATTAAGCTCATCCAAATGAGAACAGACAGCCTATGAACTCAGAATTTGCCATAGGAAGGGAGTCAGCCGCCATCAATTACTTTCACAGACCTTCCAGGGCAAGCAGGAAGCCAGGATGGGGCAGGGGCTTCAGGGATGGTCTGACTGGAATTCAGATTCAGAGCCTGGGGAAGGGGAAGCTAGAGACAGGTGATCTGTGATCTCCAAGTGCAGTATCTTATAGGACTTTCTTAGCATGTTTGGCAGGTAAAAGGTTGGGGAGGTAACAGTGACCAAGTGTTATAGATCCCTTTCCTTTCCTGTTACAGATTGTCAACTTCTCTCTATTGCATCTTTTCTTTCTTCTTTCCTTCTATTCTTTTTTATTTTTGTTGTTGTTTTGTTTTGTTGTGTTGTGGTGGTTTTGAGACAGGGTCTCACTATGTAGTCCAGACTGGCCTTGAACTCTTGGTGATCCTCCTGTCTCAGCCTCCCAAGTGCTGGGATTACAGGCATGCACCATCACATTTGGCTTATCTTTTCTTTAGTATTCAAGTAGAACAGAATTTCCCAACATAAAAAGCAAATGTAAGAGAACAAGAGCCCCACCTGAACTCCAATTCTCTACCTCCCAACCCGGATCCCATTTCTGAAGCCATTTTCACTTTACAGACAAACTTTTAAATTTCTCTATATATGTTTTCAGTTATGGATCCCCCAGAAGCCTAATTCCCATCTCTTCTCCCTCCTTTGCCTGAATACCCAGCATCTTAAACTTTATGTGTCTCATTACCATACTCGCTTGTATCAGAACCTTACCATTAGGCTTAACTACCAGTATATAAAAAGTCTTCATATTTGATCACTCTATAAAACAATTTCATTTGGTTCAACCTAATGTAAGTATTCATTCCTAATGAACATATACTATGTGAGTTTTAAGTTTTGTTTTAAAATTGTGCATAGGACTGGGGATGTGACTCAGTGATAGGGCACTTGCCTAGCATGCACAGTACTATAAATAATAGTTCAACCACAGTACTGTAAATAATGAATAAATAAATAAATAAAATTTTACATCAATGTCATAAATATAATGTGTGTAGCCAGGCACAGTGGCACATGCCTGTAATCCCAGCCCTCTAAAAGGCAGAGACATAAGAATTGCAAGTTTGAGCCCAGTGACTTAACAACGTAGGGAGAATCTGTCTCAAAATAAGAAATAGAAAAAGGGCTAGGGATATAGCACAGTGCAACAGAGAGAGGGGGAGAGCCAGTCACTTTATGTGTATGTATGTATATTTGGGGCGGGGGGCAGAGTCTTGCTATGTTGCCCGGACTGGCTTTGAACTCCTGAGCTCAAGCCATCTTTCTGCCTCACCCTTCCACGTAGTGAGGACTATGTGTATGTGCCAAGCTGCCAAGTTTTTTAAACCTTTTAATTGTGAAATAACTATGGTGTCACACGAGTTAAAAGGTAATAGAAAGAAGTCCAGCTGAACCTTTCCTCTAGTTTCTCCCCGCAGTTATATTTTTTATATAACTATTGCCTAACATCAAAACAAGTTCATTGGCTTTGGCCCAATGTATGTTTGTACCTCTAGTTCTGTGTTATTTTATAGCACATACAGATTCCTATAAGCACCACTGCAATGAAAACACAGACCTCTTCCATTAGACACAGATCTCCCTGTCCCCCTCCCTCTACAGTTACATGTAGACCCGTGTAATCTCTGGCAACCTCTATTTTCCATCTCTATAATTTTGGCACTTTGAGAACTTATATAAATAGAAGAATCATACAGTATGAATTTTTTTGAGGCTCACATCTTGAGGTATGTATCCTGAGACTGGCTTTCCACTTAGCAAAATGCCCTTGAAATCCAGCCAAGTTATAAAGAGCATCAACAGTTTGCTCTTCTGTGTGTGTATGTGTGTGTGTGGTATCGGAAATTGGACTTGGGGCTTCTCACTGAACTACAACCCCAACACATCTCACCTTTTTATTTTGAGATAGGGTCTCACTCAGTTGCCTCAATCTTGGTATCCTGCCTCACCCTTCTGAGTAGCTAAGATTAGGGATCCTTTCTAATATTGAGTATTCTGTGGTATGGATGTACCAGTTTATTTAATTGTTCACCTATCGAAGAACATTTTAGTGATATTCAAGTCAGTGCTATTTCACTGGGCATGGTGGTGCATGCTTGTAATCCCAGCACTGGGGAGGTTGAAGCAGGAGGATCACTGCAAGTTTGAGGCCAGCCTGGGCTACATAGTGAGTTCAGGGCCAGTCTGAACTACATAGTGAGACCCTGTCTCAATAAAGAGGAACTTCCAGGAAGATGATGGAGTGGTGAACAGCAAACAGCCTCTCTGAGATTTGGTGTCCAGACACTGAAATATGGCAATGTGAGGAAGAAAAGAAGGAGGGAAGTGGGTCCCCAGGACCCAGGAAGGATCTCAAGTGAGAATTGAAACTTACGGGGAGAGGAAAGAGACAGACCTCAATGCAGAAGGAGATGGTGCTTTCTCCCTGAGCCCTGACTCACTGTGTGGACAGCTCTAACCTGCACATGCACGGTGGCTACTGACACCCCAGATGCCTCCATGGAGAAATGCACTAGCAGAACAGAGCAGTGGATGCATCAGTCTGTGGTGGTGTGTAAGCTATTTGCTTCAGATGCCCCTGCTGAGAGGGTGACAGCTTACAAATGGACCTACTGAACACTTTTTCTTCTTTTTTTATTTTTGTTTTTTTTTTCTTGATAGTTTGTTCTTCTTGTTATTTCTTCCTTCTCTCTTTCCCTTCTATCTTCTTTACCAGCCTCCTAAAATTTGCATAATGTTCCTTTGTCCTCCAGCCTTGCATCTAATCTCTTCTTCTCCTTCTCCTCCTTCTTCTCCTTCTTCTCCTTCTTCTCCTTCTTCTCCTTCTTCTCCTTCTTCTTCTCCTTCTTCTCCTCTTCCTTCTTCTGTTACTCTAATTTTCCCCCAATCTCTTTTAAATGTTCCCTCCCAAGGATAAAATCACCAAATTGAGGGCATATTTACTGAATACAATTTTTTGGTTTGTTATAGATTTTGTTATATAACCACAAATGTGGTTCACATGATTAAAGGTGGCAAATTACCCCATAGTTTGTCATTTTCTAAGCCATGTTTGATGCTGTTGCTAATGCTGATTGTACTATTTTAGTCAAGGTGACATAATTATTCTAATTTGTTGTTCTTCCTGGTTTGCCAAGACTGAGATTGT